GAGTCATGGGGCTCGAACCGGGTCCGAGGGGCGTGGTCTCGATGTCTTCGGTGGTAGGTGCTTAGTACGAGAGGTTCCTAGCCTCGGTTCTGATTCCTTGTAGTTACGTCCTTGCTTCGTTTTGACTCATTGGAAAATTGGGGTGCTCATTAGCCCCGATTTCACCGGTTTCACCCGTATACAGTACTCTCAGATTTTACTCAATTAAGAAATACAGTTTCTCTATGTTTTCATCTCTCTCTGAAGCTTTCTCTTCTTTGTATATAAAATATCAATTGCATGTTGTGAATATGAGTTTGTACAGCTGAGATTTAGCTGATTTTACCAAAACATATTTACACGTTGAATAGTGACAATATATATATGAGACCAACACCAATAATTTGTATAAAATTATGTGCGCCAAAAAATATCTACAATTAGGAAGGAGCTGGAACGTAATGTGATTAATTGCTCTTGGATACTTCATACTAGTCATTAAATTAGCTAAGTTTCTCCTTTCCCTTTTAGAGAGGTTTCTTTGGGGTCGTCATTTTTCCCACTTGGTCGGTTGAAATGTACTGGAGACATCTAATCTTATATTTAAACAAGTTCTATTTTTTTCTTGTCAGTAAACTTGGCAACTTGCTCATAATTTCTTCGTAATTTGGTGGTATTACAATCTACGCTCGCCCAAATGAACCTCGTTTCATGCTTATCTTCGTCTTAATTAATTAATTCAATGGTTGACTCTGATAATTTTAATCGGAAAAGCAGATAGTTTCAAATATATATATATATATATATACGGCTACAGCCTACATAGATACGTAAGGTAAAAATAAAAAATAAAAGAAACCATTACAGGTACAATTACATACACTTGCTGGCTCTATCGTCACCCTTAAATGAAAAAAAAGAATAAGCATGGTGGAGAAAAAGAAGCAGTGTCACGTGAAATACAGGTCAATGGCATTACGTCCACGATTAATATATATACAACTAAGAAATTTTCTCAATATTAAGGGTGTGTTTGGTATAAAGGAAAATGTTTTCCGTGGAAAATATTTTCCAAGAAAATGTTTTCTTGGAAAACAAGTAATAATCTTATTCATTTTTTGGTGTTTGGTACGCAAATTAAAGAAAATGACTTCTCAAGAGTATTCATAAGTAATTTAGATATAATAAACATGAAGCCATAAACTTTCAAACCAACAACCTTCCGGACCCACAAATTTCATAAACTTTTGAACCGTTAAACTTTAAAAACCGTGGAATTTCGAATCCGTAAACTTTATAATTTCTAAACCCGTAAACTTCCAAACATATAAACCTCCGAACTCATAATTTTCGAACTTGTAAAATTTTGAGCCTTTAAATCGATAAATAATAAAATTAAAACTGAAAAATATATTTAAAAAATATTTGNNNNAAGTTGTGCAAGTGGGGGGAGGGGGTGGGGTGGGGGTTGGGGAAGCTTGAGAAGGAGTTTTAGAAAATATTTTCCCTTCTCTTGATAAGGAAAACATTTTCCTCCAATTGGAGGAAAATGAGTTCATAACGAAAATATTTTCCAAAACATTTAAGCCAACCAAACATGAGAAAATTGAAAAACATTTTTCGAAAAATATTTTTCTTCGTACCAAACACACCCTACGAGAGATCTCATTAGACTTTTCAAGCTAGTCTCGTCAATCGTTGACTTTTCACTCTTACTTTCCACCCTGTAATTACACATGAATTTTATGTTTTATGAATTGGTGGTGTAGAAATATTTACACAATCAAGTCACTTATTCGATAATTATATATAAATCTTAATGTTAGATATTATTTGATTCCGACAAATATGGTAATTGATTTGATATTAAATGTTATACGACAACCCAACCGACGTCCACCATAGGCTCGGCAAGCTGTCCTCCTAGATTTTTCGAAGCTAATACCAGGGTCTTTTCAATACTAACGACTTTTGATGTCAAGAAGGACTAACTAGACGAGACAGACCATTGTTCATATGATTGGGCCGAGTTTTGTACGGCTACCTAGTAATTTATAACCACCACTCTATCTAGCCTAAGGAATTTGCTATCCGTGCTTTTTTTTCCCATCTTGTACCTTAGTACACTGAGCACTAATTACCTAATCTTGAATCTTGAAAGTAGAATTAAGTGCAAAACTATTTATATGTCAATGTATAAATTTTAAAGAGTTTTAAGTTATATACACTGACAAGTTAACTGCAATACAACAGCAAAATAGTGTAAATTTTTTAATACTGATTTAGAAAATAAGATAATAAGACAGATTACTTGCGACAATAACCTGATATATAGTATAAAATTCTTTATGCTGACAATTTATACTTATATAAACTCAAACTTAAACGGTTAGAGAAGTGATAACGACTGTATTTATTTCTTTGTATAGTTTTTGTTTGAATAGATTAAATCATCTGGATTGATTTGTTTATATTTTATAAAATAGAAGTCCCAAATATCAACCTCTAATTTTTTTTTTTTTTTTGCCAAAATAAAATGTAGCATATTTCTCAATCCAATAATGAAAACTTCGAATTTTTTTGGAGAAGAAATTGACAGGCATTAAAAACTTGATATATAAATGATCATCAGGACCCATGCAGTAAGACCCTTGATCCACCAGAGAAAGTGGTTTGTCAGGATACCATATGTTTTTTAACTTTTTATATGAAATAGGAAAATTTATGTAGGCCATATAATTATTATATTTTGGCCTAACTTAAATGTCCTGGGATGTGGGATTAGGGTCTATCGTCCATGGTCCTATTTTTATGACACGATTGATCAGTTTTCTTCGTAGAGAACTAGAAGATATGGATTTCATGAAATTATTATCTCACATTCCTCCATTTAATTTGCACCTAATTTCGCAACCAGTGACAGATGTAGCGTATTGATGTGGTGAGCGCATTCACGTATCGAAAAAAAAAAAAAAAAAATTAGCACAACTCGCTCATAGTGCAAGTATTACTTGTATTCGTGTTTGGTCGAAATACCACACGTTGAAGATCTTGCCTTCTTGGTATTCAATGGATTGTGTTTTCACCGCTTGGCATCACAAAATGCTTTGATTCAAATTACAAAGAAAGTATGTCTCTATGAATATTACTTGATTTTCAAATTAATCCAATTTTCGTAACCCAACCAAGTAAACCTTGAACCATCAACAAGTTAAATATAAATTGAGTGGAGTTTTAATTATTCATATTACTTAAAGCTGGTATCTAACATGAGAAAGAAATGAGGAGTGATGATATTTTCCATGGTATTATTATCACAAATAAATAAGGAGCAACAATATTTTCCAATCGTTAATTTAAAATTCTAAATTCATCTCTATGCAATTACTTGGATTGTCGTCGCACCTAACCTTCGTCTCGTGTTTCAGGTGCATAAATTTATCAAAAAGTATAGTAGTTATGAGAAAAAGAAGGTGCAATAAATAGCAGGGGACACGCTGATCGTAACAATATCGATATTAATGATGGTAAGGACCGCAGAGGCAGCAGTAGTCGCCTTTCTCTAGGCTCTAGCTATGTTTCGATTTATTTCCTTGTCCTTTGCTCTAGATATGCATATTGTACTGCCGGCGTTAAATTTCAGTATGAATTTTTAATTTTGTAATATTTTGTCCGAAGTACTAGCATAGAAATAGGAAAACCAGAATTGATGAAGTTAGTTGGCTTATAACATATGGTACATGTTTTTTAATCAATTTTACACTTTTATGTCATGATCCGGTGACATAATTACAACAATTACAATTACGTCTCAATCCCAAATAAATTGAAGTTGGCGATATGAGTTCTCATTCCTTTCATTAAGCTCAACATATATCATCATGATTACTACATAATAATAATAATAATAATAATAATAATAATAATAATAATAATAGAAGTTCTCTACCAAATCAAAACCCTATTTTCAACTAGTAGCTAGATATCACCTATATGGATTTTTCTCTTCCATTGTGCCCTATTTATTTTTAGCTAAATCTGCATTCATTCCAAGGATTTTTAGGACTTTCGAGACAACTGTCTTCCATGTAAGTTTAAGTCTAACTCGTCCCCTTTTAATATATTTTCCATCATAGTTTCATATCAATGGACGGGTGCATCTGTAGGCCAACACAGGACATGACCAAACCATCTCAAGCGACATTTTTCTCGTTTTACCGTAAATGTGTGCTACTTGCACCTTCTGGCAAATGCAGTCATTTTTAATCTTATCTAGTCTTGCGTTATCACACATCCATCTTAGCATTTGTATTTCTGCAATATTTATCTTGTGGATATATTGAATTTTAGCAACCCAACATGCAATATTACATAACATAGGGAGTAGTTGTTCTATAGAACTTGTCTTTCACCTTGGCATCTTCTGTCACATAACACCCCGATAGCACTTCTCTATTTTAACCATCCGATTTTAATCCTATGAATAACATCTTTATATACTATTCCTTTCTATTGAGACAATGATCCCAAATATCTAAATCGTTTGCATTTTAGCACCGCAATTCCATCTGGCTTCACCTTAACTTTATGTAGAAAGTGGCTTCAGTTTTGCATTTCTAATACAGTTTTTTATACATATGTACACAAAATCACATCTGATCCTCTAATCATACAAAAATATTATGCAGAGTCATATTTGATACTATTATACAAAAATATTCTAAGAATCAAATCCTACATTATACAAAATCAAATACAATCCTTAAGATTATACTCTATTATCCCCCCTCAAGCTGAGCATGAGGTGTAATCTGAAGATTGGAGCATAATATATGAAACCGAGAAATTGATAATCCTTTGATGAAGATGTCAGATATCTGTTTCTCTGTTGGTCTGTGTAACAATGAGATCGCCACTTGCAACCTTATCTCTGACGAAATGAGGTCAATCTCTATGTGCTTAGTGTGAGCATGTTGTGCAGGGTTAGCAACCACATAGATAATGCTAATGTTATCACATACATTGTAACAGGACTAGAAAGTAAGATACCAAGTTCTTTGAATAATGACTGAAACCACAAAATCTCAGCGGCAATCGAAGAAATAGCTCGATATTCAGCTTCAGAATTAGAACGAGAAAATGTGGGTTGTTTCTTGGCTGCCCATGTAATTAAATTAGAGCCAATGAAATAACAATATCCCATGACTGAATAATATGTATCCGGACCACTAGCCAAATCAACATCAGAGTATCCAGTGAGAGTAAGAGGAGAGTTTTTCTGAAGAAAAAGGCCATGAGTTCACCCATAAGATATCGAAGAATGCGTTTAACAGCAAGGAGGTGAGAGGAACGTGGAGCATGCATAAATTGAGATACACAACTCACAGCATATGAAATATCAGGACGAGTGAAGGTGAGATATTAAAGGGATCCAACGAGACGGCTATATTCCGTAGGATCAAACAATAACTCACCATCAAAAAGAGTGAGTTTAAGCTTAGGATTAATAGGAGTGGAGACGGGCTTACAATTCTGAAACCCATTTTTAGACAACAAATCATGGATATACTTGGATTGGGATAGAAGGATGCCAGAGGAAGAATGATGAACTTCCATGCCTAAGAAGAATGTAAGGAGCCTAGATCTTTCATTGAAAATTCACGTTGTAGAAGATTAATGAAGAAGTTTAGATGAGATGATGAGTTTCAAGTAAAGATAATATTATCAACATACAAGAGAAGAACAAGAAGGACTTTCTCATCTCGAAAGATAAAGGGAGAAGTATCAGATCGGTTACTGAAGAAACCATAAGAGGTTAAGAAGGAGGCAAACCTATAAAACCATGCTCTAGGTGCTTGTTTTAAACCATACAGTGCGTTTTGTAGACGACACACATGATTGGGATGGTCTTTGTCACCAAAACCTAGGGGTTGTTTCATATAAAAAACTTCATCGAGATGACCATGAATGAAGGAATTTTTTACATCAAGTTGGCGTATTGACCAGGAGTGCATGATTGCAAGGCTGAGGATAGTGCGAATAGTGGTAGGCTTGACAACTATACTAAAAGTCTCTAGGAAATCCAACTCAGGTTGTTGTTTAAAACCTTGAGAAACTAGGCGTGCTTTATAGCAAGATATTTGACCATTTGCATCACGTTTAACACGGTATACCCGTTTGCACCCAATGAGATTTTATTGAGGAGACGATGGAACTAGAACCCATGTTTTATTTTGGATGAGAGAATTATATTCATCACTCATTGCATCACGCCAACGAGAATACTTGCTAACCTCGGTAAATGTAATTGGTTCATGATAAGAAGAAGAAGAATAGGGTACTAAAGAGACTAGGGGTTTAAGTTTTAAGATCCCATTTTTGGATCTAGTAACCATAGGATGCAAATTGGTAACCGAAATAGTATTTTTAACTGTTACAGAAGGAACAAAAGAGGAAGGGCTTGAAGATGCAACAGGGAATAGACAGGAAAAAGATGGAGTGACATTAACCAATTTTGGAAGTAAAACAGAGGGATTAAGAAAGGGGGATATTGAGTAATGTGAAGAAGAAGGTAGTGAATGACATTGAGATTGTTGGTTACTAAAAGGGAAGACATCTTCATGGAAAGTAACATGTCAAGATATATAAACACGCTTAGTGCAAGGATCATAACACCGAAAACCTTTCGTAACTTTCCGAGTAGCCTAAAAAGACGCATGCAGCTGAACAAGGAGAAACTTTACGGGGAACAATGGTAGTGAGATTGGGGTAGGTACAGAGATAAAAAAAAAAAACAGGTAACTTATTGTAGAGCTGCTCAAAAAGAGACTGATATTTGTGTACAGGCAATAGGTTACTCACAAAAAAAAGAGAAATTCAGAGCTTCAAGCGAAAAAGAGGTAGGTAACCCAGCTTGGAATAACAAGGTGCTGTTGTATCTATAAGATGACGGTGTTTTCGCTCAGCTACGTCATTTTGTTCCTGTGTATGGGACAACTATGACGAGGAAGTATTCCATGTTTATTAAAGAAGGATTGAAAGTGAGAGTTGAAATATTCCCTGCCACCATCAGATTGGAAATATTTGATATGTACATCAAATATATTTTTGATCATAGCATGAAATTTTTGAAAAGCTGGAAAAAAATTCAAATTTATTCTTAAAAAGATAAAGCCAACAATATCGAGAAAAATCCTCCAAATATATCATGTAGTAACGAAAACCCAACACAGAAAATATATGGGAGCACCATACATCGCTATGAATTAACTCAAAAGGAGAATGAGATAAGGATTGTGATAGTTGAAATGGTAACTTATGGTGTTTTCCTAAGGCACAACCATTACAAGCCGCAAAGTTAAATTTCTATTGAGAACATGAAAGAAACTTATTACGAAGAAAAAATGATTAAACCGAAGGATTAAACTTATTACAAGCCAATGTTCTGGACTAACTCGACTTGTAACATATGCATGATGGCCTGAGGAGACAGTAACATCTTTAGAAGATATGGGATAGAGAGGACCGGTACTACTGGACTGAAAAATTAATTTCCCCGTCACCATTTCCTTCACACAAAAACTAGAATTAGAAAATTCAAATATAGATTGGTTATCCTTACAAAACTTATAAACAGAAAGAAGATTAGCACTAAGCGAACGAACATGAAGAACATCATTTAGTTTGAAGGTGCGCAGAGGAGTGTTAAGGATAGAATTACCAATAACTTTGATGGATAGTAAGGAACCATCGCCAATGAAAATTTTGTCAGAACCAAAGTATAAATAAGGAGAATGAAGTATACCAGAGTTAGACGATATATGAGCGAAAGCACCAGTTCCGGATACCAGATAGTGTCATTAACTTTCATTGCAGCAAGAGAATGAGAGAGTGAGATAGCATTTGTACTAGCTGAAGAATTTGTAGAACTGTACCGAGCAGTGTGACCAAATTTATTACACACCTGACATTAAACGGTGATAGGAGCAACACCTAAAATTCGTGGAGTAGGGGTAATAGGTGGCTGGTATGTTGTATAAGAAGAAAGCCTTTATTGAGTAGATAAAACACAAGCAGAAGACTGTTGTTGTGGCTGAAAAGAGGAAGAACCATGGGGACGAGTAAACTATTGCTGAGGGACATGTCCATTAGAATAATTGCGACCACGACCACAACCTTTAAAAGAACCACGACCATGGTGACAAACTAGAGCAGTAGACTGAAGTGCACCATCTGTAGTATTGCGAGAGGTGATGCGAGTTTACAAGAAGAGCTCTAGTCCTCTCAAATGAAGGCAATGGTGATTGAGAATGAACATTATCCACCAAGATCATATTCAGCTGGAAGGTTATTCAAAAATTAGTGCACATATTCATCATTGGTTTGAGAAACACCGAGAGCGAGGAGAGAATCTCTCAAGTGCTTGAACTTTTGAACATAAGAATACATAGACATGGATTCCTTTTTCAAATTTTGCATTTCAATCTTGAATTTGAAGTTGGCGGGCCGATGCATAATCCAAAAATAATTGATGGATGGAGTCCCAAGTTTCTTTGGCAGTGGGTTCAGAAGTGGCGTCAAAGATTTGTTGGAAAACTTCAACAGAGATAGTGGCATTTATCCAAAAAATAACAATGGCATCTTCATGAAGCCATTGATCTAGGGCAGTAGAGTCTGGGTTATCTGATATAGTAAAGGGGAGGGAGAGGAACCATCAACTGTTAGGAAGCGTGTCAAGCTAATAGAAGGAAAAGAATTTGTAAGAGAGAAAAGAAATAAATTGCACAAGACAAGACAAGATTTACGTGGTTCAGCAATTTTTGTCTGCTCCACGGCCACACAAAGAATAGCTCTTTATTAATTAAAGAGAGAAAGAAGAAGTTTTGGGATGATCTACAAATGAAAATGTAGACCCCTATTTATAGGCATTTGAATGTCTGCCGGGGTAAGCGCTTACATCATAAGAATGTCAATGTAAGCGCTTACATCATAAGAATGCCGAGGTAAGCGTTTACATCACAAGAATGTCGATGTAAGTGCTTACATCATATTTTCATCTCTTTTTTATTTTTCTTTCTTTATTTTGTCTACTTTCACATACAACAATAGGTTTGCTCCTATCAATCTCCCCCTCAAACCTATATTAATTCAAGAAAGAAAAAAAATTTGCTATTCTCTAGTGGTGCCTTCACGCTATCAATCTTGAAGGCTAACTGAGGCAGCGCACAGCCTCAATTTGTCAACACCGACAACTTTGGTCAACATGTCTGACGGGTTCTTTGATCCTGGTATCTTCTGTAGGGAAAGAGTTCCTTTATTTATCAACTCTCGGATATGATGATACCTCAACTGGATATGCTTCGATCTTACATGAAACACTGGATTGTTGGCAAGATGAATTGCACTCTGGCTATCGCTGAAAAGCTCACAATTGTCCTGCTCTTTAAGAAAATTCTTGAGCCAAATCATCTATTTTCCGGCTTCTGAGATTGCCATGTACTCTGCTTCAATGGTAGATAGAGCAACACTTTTCTGAAGTCTGGATATCCAACTAACAGAAGTACAACCCAAGGTGAACACGTAGCCCGTGGTACTTTTTCGACTATCCAGATCGCCGCCTAAATTTGCATCAGCAAAACCTTGTAAGATAATATTGCTCTTTTTAAAATAAAGTGGCATACCTGATGTGCCTTTGAGATATCGCAATATCCATTTTACACCTTCTCAATGCTCATTTCCTGGATCTGACATGTATCTACTGACAACTCCAACTACATGAGCTATGTCAGGTCTAGTGCAAATCATAACATACATCAAACTTCCTACTACTGAAGCATACAGAACTTTGGACATGTACGTCCTTTCTTCATCTATCTTAGGTGATTGGTCCTTTGACAGATTTAGATAGCTTCCGAGTGGAGTGCTTTTGGTCTTTGCATCATGAAGACTGAATCTGCTTAGTACCTTCTGTATGTACTTTTCTTGAGATAACTTTAAGGTTCCTTCCGACCTGTTTCTGCTAATCCTCATCCCAAGCATTTGCTTAGCTGGTCCTAAGTCTTTCATTTCAAACTCCTCCGCCAGTTGTTATTTAACCAAATTGATCTCATTTATGCTAGATTCTGCAATTAGCATATCATCAATGTATAACAGTAAAATGATATAGGATTCATCAAGATTTTTGATATAACAGCAATGGTCCATCTCACATCGTGTGAAACTATTTTTATGCATGAATCCATCAAATTTCTTGTACCATTGTCGGGGAGCTTGTTTCAAACCATACAAACTCTTCTTCAACTTACACACAAGGTTTTTTTTACTAGAAACTTGAAAGCCTTCAGGTTGCTTCATGTAGATGTCTTCTTCAAGGTCACCATGCAAGAAAGCAATTTTAGCATCTAGCTACTCCAAATGCAAATTTTTTGCATCTACGATACTTAGCACCAACCTGATAGTAGTTAATTTGACTACAGGAGAGAAGATCTCGGTGTAGTCAATTACTTCCTTCTGCTGAAAGCCTTTTACTACTAATCGTGTTTTGTATCTCTTCTTACCATCATGCTCTTCCTTGACTCTGTACACCCACTTTTTATGCAATGCCTTCTTTTCTTTTG